GAGGACTGCATGAGAAAATAAGAACTGCCCTCAGACAACAGTATCAGGAACTGTTCTAATGATTTAACAGTCTAGAGGAGTCAATTTGAATGCCCAAGAAAGCTTCTTAGTGCTACTTTAGTTGTATTAAGGGAATGTGACATTAGTGAAAAATGAGAGGATAGAAACATGCTCTCAGACACAGAACCTGGATGGGTGAGCAAAATCAAAGCACTGTGAGCTTTGTCAAAGCCAAAACAGGCTCAGCATAATTTGCCTTGAGAAAGGAATAGAAGGAAACCTGCAGTCATCAGATAAAATGATTTGACTAACTTTTCAGCTTTAGAGGAAATAAGGATGCTCAGTATTATTTTAAGCCTTGTTTTATGAATCTCAGTAATTGGATCCTAGCTGGATTCTTCCCAGTAGAACTGAAATTTCCTTGCATTGTTAGTGTTCCAAAGGTGGCATCACTGTGGCTGTCATTTACGAAGTAGATACTGAGTAAAGAAGGAGAACATATTTACTACTGGCTTGTCTTCTCTTTCCTTGCTTCCCCTTTGGATAATACAACCCACACTGAGGGGTTTTTTAACTTTTGTGTTGGCAATAAAAGACCTCTGCTGACTTAGAAGTAGGTTTATGGATGAGTAGCTCTTTTCAGTGAGTAAATTTTTATAAGAGTGAAAGGGAATTACTTTTAGTTATGAAGATATTTGCCAAAATTGTGAAAAAGTTCACTGTTGAAAATGAGAGCTGGTCAGAGAAGAAATTATAGTTTACAGGACAGAGAAGCATGTAACTGCTAAAAAGCTACTGATTGCCACTCCTCAAAATACCTCCAAGCTGGATTTTTTTATCTGTAGAAGAGTAATATAATATTTTTCACTGAGCCCAAGTTAAATCAACTTTAATAATTACAGCATTTAAAAAAAAATTCATACCAAATCAGAAGACAAAGATTTTAAATACGTCTTTATTTGGAAATGTTTTATTAAAAGTTTCTATAGATAGTACTTTGCTGGTCGAAGTAGTTTTGAAAAACATTGTGTTTCATTCATCTTAATAGATTTTTCCAAAGTAATTCAGCACAGTGTGATGTGTTTCTGTCCACTAAGGCTCTCTGGGCTTTTTCCCACCAAGATTCATTCCAGACTTCAGAATAGACAAATTAGTCTCTTCAGACTGGGATCCAAATCTTTATATTCCAATTAAAAGGCTTCAACACCATGGCTGTAGTTCTGATTTGATTTCACAGAATGGACAAGGTTGGAAGGGAGCACAGTGGGTCATCTGGTCCAATCTCCCTGCTCAAGCAGGGCCATCCCAGAGCACATGGCACCGCATTGTGTGCAGATGGTTCTTGCTTATCTCTAGTGAGGGACACTCCACCACCTCTCTGGGCAGCCTGATCCAGTGCACCCACACAAATAAAGATTTTCCTCATGGTCAGGTAGAACTTCCTGTCCAACAATTTCTGCCCATTGCCTCTTGTACTATTGCTTGGCACCACTGTGAAGAGCCTGGTCCATCCTCTTGACACCGTCCCTTCAGAGACTGATAGACATTTATGAGGTCCCCTCTCAGTCATCTCTGAACAGGCCCAGCTCCCTCAGCCTTTCCTCATAAGAGTGATGCTGCAGTCCCCTCATGACCTTTGTAGCCCTCCTCTGGACCCACTCCAGCTCCTCCATGTCTCTCTTGTGCTGTGGGGCCCAGAACTGGACACAGCACTCCAGATGGTGCCTCACTTGGGCTGAGCAGAGGGGCAGGGTCACCTCCCTTGACCTGGTTCCAATGGTCTTCCTGGTGCGGCCCAGGATATCTTTGGCCTTATTGGCCACAAGAACACAGTGCCAGCTCATGGACATTTGATTGTCCTCCAGGACCCCCAGGTCCTTCTCTGCAGAGCTGTTTCCAGAAGGTCAGCCCCTGTCCTGTCCTGGTGCAGGTTGTTCTTCCCCAGGTGCAGGACCCTGCATTCACCTCTGTTGTTTCAGATGGTTTTCTTTGCCCATCTCTCCAGCCTGCTGAGGTCATTCTGAGGGGCTGCTCAGCCCTCTGGGCTATCGGCCACTCCTCCCAGCTTTGTGTTGTTGGGGAATTTGCTGAGGAGGCCTCTGCCCCTTCACCCAAGTTATTGGAAAAGCTAAACAATACTGGGACCAGTACTGATCCTTGGGGGACACCACCAGTGACAGGCCTCTAACTAGACCTTGTTAGTTAACCAAACCAAACCAAACCAAACCAAACCACCTCTCTGTACACATCGTCCACACTTCCTGGGTTTGCCCATGAGGATTTTGTAAGAGAGTGTCAAAAGCATTGCTGAACTCTAGGTGGACAATATCCACTAATCTCCTCTCATCCAGGCAGTCGTTTCATCATAGAAGGCAATCAGACTGGTCAAGCATGATTTACCTTTAGTGAATCAATGCTGGAATCTTTTAAGGGAAATAAAATAGCATCCATTTTACCCTTTTCCCTTATCTGTCCTTCCTCTCATATGCACACACATATTCTTAACCTTTTTTTCTGTAATTATCCTTCTTTCCTCTTGGTCTGCTCCCACAAATCATAACTTAGCATTATCATCATATTGCTGGGGAATCATTCATGTTATATTAGTAAAGATAATTTGTAATTTTTTATTTATAATATAATTAAGATAATAAGGTGGAAAATAGTTATGTCAGGATATCTGTATGCCATTAGAACTGGAATTTTGTTTCTTCTGAGCTTGGCTTACATTCAGCCTGCTCTGAATTTGAAAGAATAAGCAACCCGAGCATATTCCTACGCTTATGAATAAAGCTGTACTGTAGACTGCTCATGAATAAATCCAGGCAGTCATTTTTATTGTCATTAAAGAGCATTTTTATTCTATGCCAAAAAATGTTCTTGGTAATCTATGAAAGAGGCTTCTGAGTTAACAAGTGAAAACAGGCATCTTTCTCACCCCCTGCCTTGGCAGAAGTGCACGGTGAGTGTTCGTCAGCAGTCACAAGTGAATTTGTTTAAAGGACAGTCTACAGAGAGATGTTTTTCCAATTGAGTCCTTGATTGGCCCATTTGTACTAGTGCAGTATGGCATGTCCTTTGATTGTACAGTCAGACACTGCTTTTCCACCAAACATTCCCTAGTGCCTCATTCACTGTACACGATGGATGACAGAGTGCTGGGATTGAATTGGGTTTGGCAATACAGTTTGGAAACTACTGATTAGGGGAGTCTCATCTTAGTAAAATAAGGATGCCACTACAGTCTGATGAGCATTCTTCCCATCTTTAATCTTTCAAGCTAGGTATACAAACACAACTAAGAACCTCACAGATTTATTCATAGCCACAGGAATTTAGGAAGATGAACAGACACAATGATTGAAGCCATATGTATATCTGACCCTATGTTCTGACTCTGACAGAGGTCAAAAGTAGGTGCATGTGGAATAATTTAAGGACAAGAAAATGCCACCTGCAGTTATTCCATGAACTGCAATGCTTTTATGATGCAGGGATTTCCTAATTTGGAGGAGTCTCTAGTATACACATTAAACCTCTGTTGATTTCTTTTCATCAGCATCCCATCAAAGTCCTTTTTTCACATGCTTTTTCTGTGGCAAGTGTGATAGCTCAACTCACAGGCTTGTCTCAAGCCTGTCATGTGCCGGCTTCTTGTGAATGGTCAGTCTCTACCCATTCTCATCATGCAACTCATGCATGTGTCTCATATTTCTCATATTCTTTCAGAAAAGTATGCTCAGCAGAAGCCAGAGGATGTACCCAGAGTCCCAGAAAGCTCTTAGTATTCCTACAAGACAGCCAGCCATCACTTCTACTGCTATCCCTAATAGCTTGGCCTGCCCATCTGTGCCATAGTCAGATATAGACATACTCTGTCTGTAATATTTCTGCTTCAGTGATTCTTGGAATAAAAGGCTTCTGAAAGCTGACATAGATTTCAGGGAGTGTTCAGTATGAGTGTTTTTTTGGCTGAGTGGAGTGCCACTGCAGACAACAGGGTTTTCTCTCTGATGCAACCATATAATTTCTCTGTGATGCTGAGCTAGTCCAATACATGAAACTTTCCCCAGATGGGTATTAATTACATGCTTGAAATCATGACATTTGATTTGTAGAACTGCTGAGCGTTCACAGCTGCAGTTGACATCATTGAGAACAGTACTTTGTACATGCAAAGTGCTGCTTAGTGCCAACTTCCTTGAAAAATCCATCCCTTCTCTTATCAGTCAGTGCAATTAACAGATGCTTTTGACCTGTATTTCTTTGTGTTCTATTTCTCTGTTTTTAATGAAACACTTATATTCTCCTGATATACTTGTCACAGTATTAGATTTCTAAATTTTCAGACCCTGCCACATAAAGCATCACAGTGCATCCACTTAAATAGTTAACTCTCATTCAGAGAGGTTTTCCACCCTTGCATAGGTAATGAGGTCAAAATCTCAACAGTGACAAAACAGGGTAATGCACAAGTACCTGAAGAGTGACATTTGACAAGGGCATGTAGTGGTAGGACAGGAAGGAATGAACTAATAATAAACTAAAAGAGTCCAGGTTTAGATCAGGTGTAGGGAAGAAATTCTTTACTTGAACAGATTGCTCAGAGAAGTTGTGAATGTCCCATCCCTGGCAGTGTTTAAGGCCAAGTTGGATGGGGCTTTGAGAAACCCAGTCTAGTGGAAGGTGTCCCTGCTTACAGCAGAGAGGATTGGACGACATGATCTTTAATCCACTGCCATTAACCATTCTGGGCACTTACCTCACACACACACACACACACACACACACACAAAAAAAAAAAACACATAATGATCAAGTATCAGGCCATTTTTATTATATACTGGAGAACAAATTTATATTGCCCAAGTATTCTTAATTGTGCTTTCTCCTATTTTTCCTGAATTTTCACAGCACTTGTCAGAGTTTGTTTAGACAGTAAACCTGAACCTATTTGCCTTTTGAAATTGTAAAGTACTGTTTTTGCATTTTCCTTTTAGAAAACTCGTGCAACAACAAACGTCTGGACCTTGTTTTCATCATTGACAGCTCTCGCAGTGTGAGTCATTATGACTTTGAAAAAGTGAAGGAGTTCATTTTGACCATCTTGCAGTTTCTGGACATCAGCCCTGACGCCACGCACGTGGGTCTGATTCAGTACGGCAGCACCGTCAAGCAGGAGTTTTCACTGAAGACCTTCAGGAGGAAGCAGGACATCGAAAGAGCAGTGAGGAGGATGATGCACCTCTCCACTGGTACCATGACTGGACTGGCTCTGCAGTATGCAGTGAACATTGCATTTTCAGAGACAGAGGGGGCTCGACCTCTGAGGCAGAATGTGCCCCGAATTATCATGATAGTGACAGATGGGAGACCTCAAGATCCTGTGGCAGAGATTGCTGCTAAAGCACGTAACTCAGGAATCCTAATTTTTGCTATTGGAGTGGGAAGAGTGGATATGAACACTCTGAAGTCCATTGGGAGTGAACCACATGAAGAACATGTGTTTCTGGTTGCTAATTTCAGTCAGATTGAAACATTGACCTCTGCCTTCCAAGATAAACTTTGTGGTAAGATTTTTATCTATAGATTTGAATATATAGATGAAAGTGAAACAGAAAAAATAAGCATTATCATTAAACTTTTTTTTTACATGAAACCTTATCTGTTAGAACATATGTATTGAAGGGAGATTAGCCAAACAATATCTAGAACAGCAGTCACACACATGGGGAAAACTCATGCTACTTTTAAGTGCCATAAAAAATTATTTCATTGTTCGTGGTCGTAAGCAGTTAGGCAAACACACATATAATGATTTTCCTATTTATTACATAATAGCAATAAATTTATGATTTATGATATTTGAATATTAGTTAAGTTTTTTCATCTCTTCATTTTAAGAGTGGTCTCCCTTAGCAGTGAAACTTTTAACTGCTGGACAGTCTTTCTGTTCTTTAAATAGTCTTGAGAGTCCATGAATTCCTCTTCCAAAGCTTACATACGAATTCTATGCAAAGAATCATTTCTGTATATGTCTTGTGACTGGAAGTGAAACACAGACTTAGAAGGTTTTGTATTCCATCTGTTTTAAATACAGGAAGTTAGGAAAAGCCTTTGCAGTGACATTATTTATTCATCCAATAAGGTAAATATTTAAATAAGCATTAACTTACAATGGAGATATCACTTCCATCTGTAATTCCCTGATAAGGAATTACCTTTTGCAAATATCATGGCATTTGTAATTAATTTTATTTTAATCGATGTGCTTGGTAGACTTTTTCATTTATTCCTGACATAAATGTGAAAATATTTCCTACAACTTTGGCCTTTAGCTGATGTCTTTTCATTAGAATCCAGAAAAAGAATGCAGGGTAAGATTAAATGATCACTCATGTCTAGGGATGCTTTTGCCAGAAAAGAACTGCAGCTTATTGTAAGGATAGTCTGGAGGATTTTCATTACTTGATCTTTTCCAAAATTGTTTCAAAGAGCAGCTGAACTGTTTCAGCAGAAAACACCAACACAGACAGTCATCAGATAATAGATTTTTTCCCATTTCTTCCTTGCTGTATTATTATCTGGCATAGTGGGATATATTTAAAAACCAAGAAAGAGTAAACTAATCATGGATTCAGAGTTTAAATGGAACCTGCAGCAAATGCTGATTTTTTAGATTTTGTTTTAGAAACAAATCCCATACAAATAACATTTACTTGGTTGGGATTTTTTTCTCACTGGGCCATATCCAATAAATTTATTAGAGTTTTTAGCTCACTTTTAATCAAAATTATATGTTCCTCAGTGAAGCCACCCCCCACTGCTGATGGAGGACTATGGAGGTGACAAGGATAGCAGCTGCCTCCTGCTCCCAGGAAACGCCTCCACAGGATTTGCTGTGCTGAGAATTCAAAGTGAGATCCTAAGACATGTTTAAAAACTCAGATCCAGGTTTCACAGAGAGTTTAAACTGTTAGATTCATATGGATTTCAACATAAGGTGCTAAACTGGAGATAGGATCCATAACATTTTATTTGCTCTTGACTGTGAAGCAGCATTCAGCTTGATGAATTTCAAGAGAGTAAATCTGGGAAGCAGAGGCTATGATTGCTGTCTTGAAATTCATCATTCCTCCAAGAAATGTGGTTAGTTTAAGTCCTCCCAGGTGTGGACCCAGAGGCAGTATCAGTAGCTGAGTGGAACATCTGGACACCTTGTTTCTTTGCTAAAGCAATTGAAGGCACCCCTCTGGTCAAGTCTTCTGGAATGCTGTCTGCTGGGCTTTGTGCTGTGGGAAAAGACCTTGGCCCCTGAGCTGTCCTTGTGTCTGAATCACCCTTGTGTCTGTGGGAATGTGTCTTGATGGTTCTTGTGATGATAAGAGAAAACCATGGCTAAATGGTGAAGCTTTGTGGGGAAAACAAGAAGTAAGCCAAACTAGCCACTACTTACTACTGAATGGGAGAGATTACTAAGTACCCAAGACCTATATTCTCAGAAGAATCCCTGTGAACTGTGCTCTATTCTGTTAAGTCAGAGGTTCCCTACAGTTGCTGCCCCTGACTGTTAAAGGTTTGGGGATGTCAGGAACACCAGATGAAGCCAGGACCCCTTTTTATTACTAGTCAGCAAGGTAAAACAGAAGCAAGGAGTATCCTAGACAAGAGTTGAAAACTCAGAAAATGTCACTGGAAATGGGAACAGAATCCAGGAAAGGAGATGGAGATTAGATGAAGTGTGAGAAAGACAGGACTTGGGATGGAGCAATCAGGAGCAGATAAAGTCTTTATTATATTCCTGTAAAGTAAATAGCAATGTCATCCCCATTTTACACTGGAGGAATGGAGGAACAGAAACAGGGTTAAGTGTGTCAAAACTAACTTAATATTTGACTCTACCTAAAGTTACCTCCACTAACTTTAAATATTTGACTCAGTGCAATCCCTGATGTGATTTTCAGGCATGTAACATTTTGGGATTAATACAACATGTTATTCATGGCTCTACAGCCATCACTTGCACTCTTGCAAATCCAGATTCAGGTCTCTATCTGAACAGTTACAGTGTGAAGGCTGATGTTTCTTTGAAGATACTGATACTATTGTCTTGCCCAAAATCAAATAAGGACCCTGTGATATAAAAATAAGATCTAAGTCACAACAAGGCTCATGTTCAGATTCCTTAACTATGAGATCACCCTATTACCTTCCTATGATCACCAAACACCTCCTGCAACAGATGAGGTTGCAGAAATCATTCAGAGAGCAGACTCCACCACAGAAATCAGACTAATGACCAGAGTATCACTGCTTTGAAATGGGAGCAACAGAAACACTTCAGAATATGTACACTGTACTTGTGTGGTAGATGGGAAGATTGGTAACAGACAGCAACAATGTGCTCTCAGAAGGAACGGGAGTTATTGGACTCCTGTCATTGAACACTTTCATTTTCAGAATGACAGAAAGATGACAAGACAAGAAGTCGAAGTAGGTCTGTGTTCACATAAATAAAAGTACTTGAGAAGATTTATTATGGGAGAAATCTGTGAAATCCAAGAAGCTGATTAAGAGATTAGGGAATTGTGGTGGTTTGTGTGTTAGCAATAAATACCTAACTCTAGTAACTGTGCCAAAGAGCAGATACATAATCTATATCTTAAAATCACATGTGGGTTTTTTCCACCAGTACCACACCTACCAGGTTAAGGTACTTTGCAGGCTTCTGTTGTGGCTTTTAGAAGATTACAGTCAATATCTATTCCATAAATTTTGAGCTTTGTCGACCTAGCACATTAAGGAACACATCAATCCCTGATTGCTGTTGAGCAAAATAGATACTTTTCCACACAAAGTTCTCTGAGAAGTAATTCACCTATATATTATGGCGATTACATACAAGCAATGCTGCAGTGGAAAAAAAAATATCAGGATTTCTTAATCCCCAAATAATGCTCTGGAGAAAAATAGTTCAACAATGAATTTGACTGAATGGCCTTCATTCTTTTTCTCTTTCATTGGCTGTCTGCTGCATTTTAATACCTGCTATTAGAGACATAAAATACAAACAGAACAAAAATAGACTCAGAAAGACTTACAATCTGGAGGGTAGCTCATCTCACCTCCTGCATAATGAATCTTGGAGATGCATATCCTCAGTGTCGTCATGTATTACTTGCATGTCCCTCAACATTAATAACTAAGCAAGCAAACAGTATCTTCATTAAGTTGTTTTTTAATAATTCTTCTTTATTATTGGGTACTGTGTGGTGATTTTCTTCATGCGAGAAGTTGAATGTCCTCTAAATCAGCTTACACTTAAATTTCACTTCTTTTCTAAAGTTGATTATAAAAGGTTTGTTTCATTGTCTTCATAGGGCCACCAAATGATTAGATTTTTCAAATACTCCTTTGTGTATTTTTATTTTCTTAGGATTTCATTTTTTGTCTTTACTAGCAACACTTAATTTGAAATTTATGAGTTACTTCACTAAAATTTTCAACATCAGTTTTTTTTCAGTTGTGACCACAAGTAATTAGGACCAGCAGCTAATAATGTTTTCTTTTTTTCTTTCAGTGCCTCATATGTGCAGTATAGTTGAGCATCACTGTGATCACTTCTGCATAAACACCCCTGGCTCCTACTTGTGCAGATGTAAACAAGGATACATTCTGAATGCTGACCAGAAGACTTGCAGCAGTATGTTATCTTTCTTTTCTCTTTCATACTCCCAAAAGTTGTTTAACATCACTTACCCTTTCTGTTGGGCTCATAAAGAACTGAGGTCAGTACATATTTAATGACAATCATCAGAAAGTGTCTAGAAAGGTGAAGTTGTAATTCTTTTTCTTGCTTTAAGTGAAGTTCTTACAAATCTTTCTGAAGTATATCCAGCTGAATTTTATACACAACTCTGCAGAGGTACATTGTAACTATATGAAGTTACATTTGAATTTTATTGGTGTTTTAACTTCAACAATTAAAAACAACCAAATCAGTAACTTTATAATTTCAAATGAAGTGAATTTATATACTTTAATAACTTGTTCAGCTAGCAACAGTACTAAAAGGTACAGAATGGTGCAATAGACCCTATACTAGAAAACTGTGAAATAACCTGACATTCTGAAAAGCTCTTTCTAACTGCTGGTGGAAATATAAGGGTTTGCAACCTTTTAAAGAATGGTTTCAGAAGACTTGCTTATGCTCCCATTCCTCTCTTTAAAAGTGTTGACTTTTTTCAGTTTTGAGTAATTGGCTGTATAGTTTATAATAAACTTTATTTCCCTTTAATTTTTATTTTTGTGAACAGTATTTTGTCAGTCCATTTTAACTTCTTTCCTAGTAATCAACAGCAATTTATATCAGGGGGATCCATCAAATTTATTTCTGTATCCACCTTATTTTAAAGAAATTATGTAATGCTATATTTAATTACTTGTGGAAAATGTACGTGCTAAAAATTCAAGTTTTTATTACACAGCAGTGTACAGATTCAGATGAAAGTGCATGGATTCAAATGAAATCTGCTAAACTGATTTTAGCCAGAAGAAAAATTTTGAAAAACATCTTTTCAAGAAACTGTGGGAGACAGTAATCATAAGAGCATAGGATGTAGCTCTTACAATCGATAATTTAGAACTAAGGTGAAGACTGCAGGCTTAAATCCCATCATTGTATTTGATGTTCTGTATCTTAGGAGAGTGCCATAAAACTGCCAGGTTTCTTGAGATATTAGTGGACTCTTAGTCTCTCTTGCTTAGATTTGTTTTATATCAAATATGAAGCACCAATGAAACAGTGAAGGTATGTAAATAAATTTTAAAAAAAAGTAATTACAAGTTTGAAACATTCTTTCTTTATTGTCTCTTCTTCTTTTTACTCTGTTACATTTCCATAGTTTTTCCTCAGCCAGCAGTTCAACATTTGGGCATTGCTTCAAATACAGGTTAATTTCCAAGAGTTTTGGAATTGTATGTAATTTTCCTGCTAGTGACCCAGGCACAGTAGCCCTCAATATGCTCCCTCTCTACCATTTTTCAAAGCCCTTTGCTGCATTGCTTTACCTTGTTTTTTAGCTATGATATCTATTGGTTTTCCCCACTTACCTCTCACATGATTTCTTTGCTTGACCTGCTTTGATTGTCAATCAGATGATACCAGATTGCAGTTTGATCAATATGAAAGCCAAATTAGTCCTTCAATGTGTTTGCAGCGTTTAGGTTTTTTACATCACCAAATTATAAATTAATTTTAACAATTAGCACTGGAAATCTGAGAGTAATCAAACTGGCCTTAAATGTGCTAGGATGGTGCAAATCACTGGTGAAGAAGAGAGATGATGCTCTATCAGTCTAGAGGAGGTCAAACAATTAAGTCTAAAACCCCCACAGAGATGTAACAGAATTCATGAGGATGGGGAGTCATGCCTGGACAAAGGGGACAGCTTAGTTCTGGAGGTAGGAGAACCACAGTGAAAGAAAAATGCACAGTCTGAGAGTATTTTAGTTACCTTCACTAGCTGTTAATTGCCCACAAGTGCACAGAGACAATGGATTCCTCACTTGACAGCTAAGTAAAATAAATCTTCATCATGTTTATGTTAAGTACAATACATGATCAACATAAACCAAATGTATTTATCTAAGGTTTGGTCGTATTGGCACCTCTTCAATGAACAAATAATTTCTTTACATACACAATTTAGCACTTTCTGAATTAAACAATACAGAAAAGATGAATGCTATGTAGCTAATGTTATACTGTCTTTTCATTCTTTTGTTAGACTCTGTTTTTATTGTTCTGTTCCCTTTTTTTCGTGTTGTGAGAGTATATGCTATCAATACTCAGTCTTTAAAGCCCTTAACAAAATGGCTTCAATCAGCAATGAACTGGCAACTTCACTTCATGCTAGGAAATGGTTTTTTTGAAACTGAAAATATTCTTACATTTGTTTAATTATTATGGTTTTGCATCCATGAAAGGATGCTCCTTTTGTGTACTGTGGTCTAACTTTTGTAGAGAGGAGTGTTTGTGTCAGATAATGGGTATTCTTTACTTATTACACTGTATTTGTTTGTTTAACTAATCTCTCCCATTCTTCTCTAGAGATGCTCAAATCTTACATTAATAAACAAAATGATACAAAAGAGGAATGTAGCTGAAACAAGCTGGAAAATTATCTATTTGTGGGTGTTTACACTGGAACAAAAGAGTTAAGCGACTGTTTATGCTGTTCATCATGCTGCTTGATATGAAGCAGACAGCTATAAAAGAAAATTTGGTTTTGCTTGGCTGATTTCCTCAAACATGTTCCAAAAGCCTATTTTGTAGCTGTAAATGACCATTATGTGTTGAGCAGTCTTTGAACAACACAAAGCACTCTGCTTACCAGAGCTTTCGCTGGGGAAACTTGGGGTTCTCATAAAGCTTTAGTCTGTTGAAAAGAAAGCCCAGTGTGCTTTATTTGGCTAGGTGCTGAACTGACCTCATTTGTCATGGTCATTTTTTTGAGATCTTTTGCATGGGAGGGGTGACTTGCTATGGTATTTTGCATAAAAATGAAAAATTCTAAAACCCAGAAATTTAATATGCCTGAGTTTTTTTCTGTTGTGTTTTCCTTTTCTTTCCCTTTCCAACCTCATCATCATTTATCTGGTTATGCAAAATAAAGCCCCAAAAATACATAAATAAACACAATTACTTTTCTTTAAAAAAAAAAACCCTGAAAAATGCACTTTGAACATTTTAGGGAAACATACCTCAAGGAACTCTACTAGACACCATTGGTCCATTAATAGTCTTTGCCATCAACTGAAGGAATGAGTGCCTCAGCTTTGAGTGACTGATCTTATTGTCTTTCACTGTTTGACAGAACATTGGCATGATCTGTGTTAAAATGAGCTCATCTCTAAAGAGCTGTCCATAGCTTCCTGAAATTTATTTTGATCTATGGTCTACCTGTGCATTGTAGAAGGTCAAAGAATGTCATACTCATGCAATTATGTGTTGTAGCTCAGGACCTTTGTGCTGTGGAGAAACATGCCTGTGAGCAGATTTGTGTGAACACACCTGGGTCCTATGTCTGTCAGTGCTATGAAGGATATGAGCTTGATGCAGATGGAAAGAGCTGTGTTGGTGAGTATGAATTGAGCAATTCACATTTATCTCTTGACAAAACAAAAGCAAAACTCAATATAAAATAGTATCCACTTTAGCTATAGACAAATATATTCTCCTGAGTGAGTGGTAGATGAGAAAGCAGACATAATTTACATGTTTGTAGGCCTTTACTGATAATGAATGGTGTCTTGGGAAAATTGTTCCAACCAATTTCACACAGAAAGTAATTTTCCATTTTGACAACACACCCGATGTTTTATTCAAGATCCATGTAGGTGGCCAGCAATGTACTGGCATGACATATGTGGCCATTAAAAAACAAAGGCGGACAATCTCGGTAGCTGCTCTTCAGACAGAAGTAATGCACAGAAAAACTTCAAAAGAGGACAATTTTTTGATGTTTTTTCACTTGATTTTATGGTGATGTGAGGAGACATTTCAACTCCTTTTTGGAAAGGTTGACTTTAAGGACAGTTTAACCACTTTAGGAAACCATCCACTATGTGCCTTTAATTTTCACTGCAGGCAATGTGGAAATAAATATAACTTCCAAGAATTACAGCTCAAAAGAGAGAGTGTGGAAATGTGGTACAATAACTCTTTAACACAAAACATACTCCCCTCTGTATTACTCTATAAATATCTCAGTCTTCTTCTCTGTTCATATGTGGTAAATACTTCTATTACAATTTCTTTTACAAGTCTATGTACCAATTCTTGTAAACTTTTCATTCCATGCTCCATTCTGAGAAAATACTGTCTCCTGTCTTCTGTTTCCACTGCAAAAAGCCCTAGTGAGATCTGGATACAAAATTACATTATTTGTTAGGTATTCTCTTCAGGCAAGCACTTAGATGCATGCTTAATTTCAAACACAAATTGAAGTGCCATGGAAATGAATCCAAGTCAGTCCTTGGCCTCAGTTCTGCCACAGGCTGCCACAATGCTTTTGTCCAACAGCCTACTCTTTCTTGTCATTTTAAGACAGCTCTAGCATATCTTCCTCGTATTACCTTCAAAAAGCTATTGGCTTCCAGGATAGCCCTGTTTTGAAATGCAAAATAGGTGACAATTTATGGAACTTTCTTCATGTAGCTTCATGCAAGACACACAAAAAAGATTTTGAGATTTTTTAGGCCTGGGATAGCATGAGGTTTTGAAGAATATTCACTCTCTGCTTACTCTTCAGAAATGTTTCCTTTACTTGTAGGCTTCATGATTTCAGTATAGGAGTATTTGAAGGTCTCAATATAATTTGTCTCCAGCATAATTTGGCCACTCATATACCATTTTAAGAACCTGGTTTTTGAAACAAAATTGTTTTGAAAATGCAGATAGTACTGGTTATTTAGGTAAGTTTTTATGTTCTGGCCCAGATTTCTACATCTAACATTCACCTAATAACCTTAGCTGACTCTCTTGACTTACTTGTGTTAGAATAAAGGATATACTTCTCTGCTATTTATTTGACTATATCCTGAGACAGGAAATCCGTGACTTCTGGTAACTTCTTTCATCCCTGATTCTTTCCTACCAGGTATTCTAATCCAAAATATTCATGCTTAATGTCATCAGCTGTTGTTACTATTTTCTATTAAGCTGAAGTTCCTTGACAGCCCAAGATATTCTTTCCAGGAAAGTAACTACCAGAGCTTTCATTGTGGTGAAATTCTTTGTATGTCAAGTCTAATATTAATTTTGTAATAAATGCGAAATCTATTTTTGTTATTTAAAACTTCAGAATATTTTTATGCCACTTATTACATTTCTTGCATTGGTGTTTGGGACTTTTGTCTGTTAATAACTTATCTGCAAAGTCTGGGGTAATTGCTCTTTGGAGGCATGATACATCTTTGATGTTTTTTTTCCCTACCTCCTCACTGACTCTCTTTGGCTTGAAGAGATACACATTTATTATGAGCACTATTGTTGACATTTAAAGATTTCATATTCTCTCTTCTATTATTTTCAAAATAGAGCATGCATGGGTTCACTGTCTTGTCTTTTACAGGAGTTTTTCTTCTCCACTTGATTTCTATTAATTTTTACCTTTTAGTAACAAAACATGAATACATGCTATTCATACCACTGCAATAATTAGCAGTATTAATTGGAATTTTAAAGCACATTATTAACATTTCTATTTTTTATTTTCCTTTTTCAGTTGCATATTTGGCACTTAACTTTTAAATTTTTTACTGATGTACAAGAATGGTTAAATGTATATTAATTATATTTAGTCTATGCAGAACTTAGTTTCTCTACATTTCTTGAACAGGAAAAGATTGGGTAATTTAGTAATTTGATGCTAATTTGTCTGCAAATCCTATTGACAGCCTTTAGAATTTGACTTTTCAGGTTTGAACAACTTGAGATTTTTGAGGAATATGCTACTACTAAGAATGTACAGCTTATGCAGATGTGATCACCAATGAATAATCATCCTTGCTGGAAAATTTTTTAGGGAGACTATGTGTAGTACTGACTCAATAGTGATAACTCTCAGTTTTCGTTACTCCCAAGCCAGTTAATCCTTCCTTTCTGTTAAGTATTTATTATCGAATGAGCAGGATCTGAATAAAGATCTTGATGCACACATATACTAGAGATCACTGAGAATAATAACAATTTTGCAAAAAGCAGTGACTTCATTAAAGTTAGTCACTCCTCCCCTTCCAGAGAATGAAAAGAGAATTTCAGTAGGAAATATGCATTGTGATATTCTTGGAAAGAGTCAAAGGTTTCCATCTAAGATCTCTGTGACTTCTAAAGTTTTAACTCCAGCAAAAGCAAATTAGAAAGTACCGAAACTTCATTTCATGGGCATGTTTATTAATTTTTTCTGATGGGTTAGTTTAAGGATCAGTGGTGATATTAATTGCTTTATTGACATGTGCCAGCCAGTTACCTGAATAGCAATAATTACATGAAATCTCACAGCCAGAACTCACAAGTATCCATTCAAGCTGACCACTGAACAACCAACCAATCTGAGAGTTTCCAATGCAGTTTATGAACGAATTTGTAGGATAAACAAAACTTGGAACTGTCTGCTCAGCAGTAAATCTGGCTGGCAGATTTGCCTTTTTTGATCTGTTTTCCACATGGACAAAGTCCTGTCAGCTGATGTTTGCTGGTAATGAGCTACCCTTTCTCCACCAGGCTGCTGGACACTCAGTCTCTCCACCTTGGTGTTGCGGGACATGCTGTCCTCTCTTTCCTGGCACTAGTGTTAGTTAGACTGTATCCATCTTGCTGCCCTTGCTGGGCTTGGATCCCTTTTTCTTGGCAGTGGCTTGGCTGCTGGCACTACTGGATTTTTTTGGCTGCTTCTTAGGTTCTTACGAGTCTTCCCTGAGTGTGTTTTGTTCTTCCCTCATGTGCTTTTTCATCCTCTTTATGCCTTTACTTGCTTTACACCTTTTCCTCCTACCCTTCTATTTAACTTCCTTCATCATCCCACACCTGAATAACCTCTATAAACATCATAGGGCTAAAACAACCCCTTATGAGAAAGGTGACCCATGCAGCCCATGGTTCAGAGAGGGCAATGTAAGCACCCAGAGTGCAGAACTGCTAACTGGAAGTCAAAGATGGTTTTCATCACTTACTAATGCCAAGGGAGAAAAACAAGGTGGAACAAATATGCAGAGATGACAACTGAATTAACAGTTTGCTCACTAAAAAGGACACTAATAAATCATCTAGAAAAAATTTCTTATTGAAATAGACATGAGAGAAAATTCAGAACAGTGAAATCTCAGGTTTTCACATTCTCATGTATATCTCATGACTTAGCATAAAATATGCTCTTCTCCCAGGGATGTGGGAATGGTTCAAAGCTGTGCCAGGGGAAGTTTAGACTGGACATTAAGAAGCATTTCTTTAGCAAGAAGATGGTCAAACACTGGAACAAGCTTCCTACAGGAGGAATGCTGTAGGAATGTGGATGCTCCAAACCTGTCAGTGTGTGAGAGGCATTTGGGCAAAGTCAACTCTGAACTGGTCAAACAGTTGAACTAAATGGTTATTGTGTGTCTCTTCCAACTGAATATTCTATTTTCTTATAATCATTAGTTGGGCAGTTGTAGATATTGCAATAGAAATTAATTTTGTTAAGGTTTAAATGCAGAGGAAGAGGTAACTTTACAAAGACATCCATATGGGCTATTTCCTAGGTATGATGCTAAATTGCATGTATTCTTTGGCCTACTTATTTCTTAATGTGCCTTTTAAACACTTGAAAATGTGCACATTGGAATTAATTTAAGAGGAAAGTTAATTGTATGGCACATTATATCCCTGAAATACGTATTCAGTAAATAAGTTTTAGTATTAATCGATTCTGGAAACAGGAAGGTTCCTGCCAGGAAAATGGTATCACATGGTAGCCAGAAAGTAATTTGACTTGATTCAACAGAACTATTCTGAAGGGTTAAAAGAAACTCTTTCAAAGTAGCTGAATAGGTTATCTGCTTTCCTGACTAGATGATCTTGACTAAATATAGTAGCACACCTGAGTGTGCGTGATTTACATAGGTGGGGCAATTGAAGAAAAAATTGATTGCATTAAAACAAATTACTGCCTCTTAAAGAAATTTGTGAGCCTCAGCAGTATAAAACAGTGAAAAATTTTACTTAGTTGGCAAAGAGGAACCTGTCTTGGTATGAAGCTAAGTACATTACTGTCTTCTGCAGAAAGAATCAGGTAGACTTTCCTAATGTAGGTCTGGCAGCTCTTTGTAGATAGAGCACCAGTTTTGTGACTTATCTTTAATTTCTTCTAAGACTTTTGTTGTGAAGATGAAGCTTAACCTACAAAGAAATTTTTAAAATCCTTTAATTTCTTTAGCAACTTTAAATCGACTTGTGTAATAAATGACCAGAGTTATGAAATAGATGACAGGACTGCCTGTGACTGTTTTTGTCCCCTGCATTATATAAGCAGAATATCCATGGAGAATATCAGCCTGAAACTCTCAGGCTTTGCAGTTGTAGCTGCTTTGCACAGAATGAATCTGGAGCACATTAGAAGAAATGAATGTACTGTGACAGTCTTCAGTGTAGAAGATAATGCCAAGATTTTCCTATAAACTCAGGCTACAGAACCAGCTCTTGAGAATTAACACAGCTGGGAGGGAACTAAGGAAAAGTAGAGCAATTCCAGGACTGGAACTTCAGAGACAGAAGACTAAATCAAACAAACTTTTCTATGCCCTGGACTACAGTGTGAACATTGGACAGAGATGCTCACTGATGCATGGTTTCTAGATCTGAGAAAACATGTTGAGAAAGCTCCTGACAGTCTGAGAGCTGATAAATGTTCAAAGTTGAGAAATTATTCAGGATTCATTTAAAATCTGATTTACCAGCTGTTGTTGTGAGTGCACTACTTTTTCCAGACAAGCTTTTCAAGACAGCAATTACATCAGCTTTTCCTTTTTTTATAGCTACTGTGTGTCTCTAGAACCATAATATCCATGCATAACAGTTCTGGGTTTTTTTCCTAATTGCACGTTCGTCTTGTTCTTTTTCAGTTGTGGACTACTGTGCTTTGGATAACCATGGTTGCCAACATGAATGTGTTAACACCAAGGACTCCTATTACTGTAGATGCCACCCAGGGTTCATTTTAAATCCAGACAAAAGAACTTGTGGAAGTAAGTTGTGATAAAGTTTAATTATGAACAGTTTATACTTTTTCTGTCTTCCAGCTGCCAGCAGTAGTCCTCCCACTGGTCCTGGGAGTGCTGACTAATGCATCAGGTATAGAAATGCATCACGTTGGAGTGCCCTGGAAGCCAAAGGTCTTGAAAGCAAAGCAAGTAGTTTTGAGGGGAGGGCCTAAAGGTAAAGGTCCCTCTTATGAACAGGAAACTTAACATGAAACCCAGCTCTTTTTCAACAGCAAAAAGCTGAAGCTTTGCCTTGGATTTCTCTTTGATTATTCTTTTTTTTTTTTTTTTTTTTTTGGTTAGAATATAATCTCCCTATCTGGGTAAACAAACAAGTCTGTGCAAGACAATTTATAATCAGTTTGCTTTGTAAGATGATCTAAAATAATCAGTAGTTTCCCAATCAGAAGAAACATTGCAGTCTGGTTTTCTGTGGATTTTTCTCCAGAGTGAGTTCTCTGATGGTGTGGCAAAGCTCTGTCAGTATCAGTATCTTCTACCAGGCTTCCGTGTTTCCACCAGCTTATAATAACTTCATGGCTTGCTTGTTTGTTGTTTGTCAAATTCCATACCAGGCTAAAAAGATTTAAAAATTACTGGAATTAGCAGTGGACATGAAGTGGAGGAGATCTGACAGACCAGAAAATATTCATGTCAAGGCCTCCCATAATTGTGAAACAAAGCTAAAACCTCCACAGTGTTTAATGTTCATAACTCCCTTTAAGGAAATGTCAAGGGAAAACCTTAATGTACTTTCCTGGTTACCTTTCTTCATAAATGTGGGCTTTGATAAAGAAATATTACTATTGTGCCTGTAAGCAGGAAAGCTCCATTAGATTTAGACTATTGCTGCTGCCAGTGATGAATTTAGCCCATATTATTGAATAATATGTTCAAACTTTATTTCTGAAAAAATGCATCAGTGTACAACTGCATTTCTGTGTGAGGGGCATTTCAATCCTTCTGATGAGAGATTTGGTTAGCCCATAGGTTGTATTTATATTGTGTATTATGGTTGATATCTATTCCATTTAAATTTAACATTTAGGGAGAAAACATGTAATCCAGTCTGGATATGTGTTCTTACCATCAAGGGAAAGAGACATGCACTTCTCAAAGGTGAACCCTTCCAGTTCTGACACAAATTTATGGAAGTGCCTGTATTTTCCTTGAATATACAGGGGGTCTCGATGACTTGCCAGATTGGACACATAATTTTTAGATGGTCAGAGTCAGGGAAGATGAAATTTCTGCTTCCCAAGGGCCAGAGTATTTGTAGTGGTTAAAATCATTTGTAGAATGTATTAACATTCCCATTTGTTAAGTATCTATCAGCTAAGGGCTGGCTAATTATACTTCCACATCCGTACCTATTTGAAATCTTATTTTAGTTGCCCAAGCACAAGTTTTTGTTAATTTCTTTAAGAATTTGGATTTTGAGCAGTGTTTTCTCCTCCAGTTTGAACCAAAGAAAGTCCTTAAAACTGCATAAACACTTCATATTCCTTGACTGATTTTTAGTTTATGGCCTAACTGTATGCATTATTTTAACATATTTAAATTGATGATTCACAGCATGTTGACATCTGAGGGAGTATTCTGGGAGACTAGTATTTCAGGCTTGACCTGTCTCTATCCTTTATCTGTTGCATGAGACAGTATATTAGGCATAAATAAGCACAAATAAGACTTACTAAGCCACTATTCTTTACACTCGATATCCTCTGAGCTTTGTGGATAAATTAAAGCATGAATGAAAGAACTGTGTAGCTCTTAATGCTGCAAAAGTCAAGACAGCACGAGAGCTCTTCAGAGCAAAAGTGTCCCGTAGTTCCCATATGTTATAAATCACACTGAGTTTGAGTCTGCTTAAACAATGCCAACAAACTACAGATCACTGGATTTAAAATGTTTGTGACTTTAAAAATTTAACATAAATTTCTACATGTTTGGCTTATGTACTGAGTCTCAGGGAACATGGCCAACAAGTCAAGACTCACACATGCCAGAGCAGTTCTCTGCATCAGCAAGCAGGCCTGAGGCACCCACTCCTGAGATCTCGTGATTGTCTCACAAGCCTGACTTCCCTTTCAAAAATAGAAAGTAAGCCTTTATGCTCATGGCTACAAAGAAATGCATGGAAATATAAGTGTTGTCAGTATGGTCGTGCATATCTAACAAATGTTTTCTCTGGGAGCTATTCCAAAGTTCTTAGAATGAAACACAAGGAGAAGTCTCATGAAGCCAACCTTGCCAACACCATCAGAGTGCTCTATGGCTGAAAGAGCACAGCAAGTTTGGTTTATCAGTGAGGCAGCTGGAGGACATTCAAGCCTCTATTAAGGAGATTCCAGCCACTCTTGCTGCTCCCCTCAAGAGGACAGATGGCAGCTTCTGCTTGTACTGGGTGCTGCTGAGCCTCAACTGTTCTTTACAAAAGACCTGTTTCAGTTCTGGGTTCACATAATTTGTAGCTGGGCAAGGCTCTGTTAATATCTTTGACCTGGGCTGTGTTGATAAACATACTAGAAGAGTGTTTTTAGTGTCCCAAACAGAATAGCCTCAAGGTTTCAACAAAGATAATACATATTTTTCAGCCCTTGTGGTCATCTTCAGAATCAGTTATCCAGGAAAAGTCTCTCCTTGAGTGAGCAAGGATTTGAGCAGGTAAATGCACCACAACACTGCTTAGGTCCAGAAGGCATAGAACTGCATTCCTCTGGTGCACACACAAGGCTTTGTGGGTTCTGTCTCTTCAGTGCCCTCTTAAGTAAAAATATATTTTCTAATTTTCATTTTAGTAAACAGATATCTCCATGTTATGTATAAATGTATGTGCATATGCTGTCAGAAAAAGCTTTGGTAGAGGAAATGTAAATGTTATCAATATTAATTAATATACAGAGTGATGTACAGAAATTATAACATAGTCCTTCTGAGTTTTCTTAGGAAGTCACATTCCACCTCATTTATTCTGAAAATATAGGTGGTTTGTTATCACAAAGGGCTTTCATCATATATAAACACTCAATTCCATTAACCTTCCACAAATCCAAAGAAAGAACTGTCCATGCCTCTGAAAGCAAATCACCTCTGGGAATAATAATTAGTTAACTTCTGGGAATAATAAAACCCCCTGAGTTTTCAGGTTGTATAATGAGGTGTTCAAAAGTGCCTGGACGTTTTTTGAAGTGTGATTTATGTAATTTGTGACTTGTTTATCTACTTTTGGCAGTGATAAGGGGTTAGGAGCATTTTTCACTAATGTAAATTAACTACACTGACACAAAACTAAGTGATGGGCAGACTCTACATCTAAGTGAATGTCAGGTTCATTGACTTCATCAATAATGATAAACTCTATAGGGGAAATATCTTAGTGCTTAGTGCACAATTGCTGTCCTTTCTAAGTTATTTATCTACAAGTGGTAGCTGTTTCTAGACTGCTCATCTTCTCTTCCATGGGCATTTCAAGTGGAAGAATTGTGAAGCAAGCACTCAGATCTGTTAAAAACTTCCACAGTCCTGATGACTTGTTTGTCCTGCTATGATCTAATAAACAGCATTCAAAAGCATGTTTGTGTGTTTGCTACACATCACGTCTAACATGCTCTGAGTGAGTAGGGGCAATTTTGATGAGCAAATGTATAAGGCTTAGCTGCAAAATGTTAGGAAATATTTAAGATTCTAACTTCTCTACTGCATGAACTATTTATGTTCTGTAATAATTCTTTGTAGTATGTGTCAGATGTATATCAGTATAGCAGATATTTGGAAAAAAAAGAAGCATTTTATTTTCATGGTTTTAAACAATATGGTAAAACACCAAAATGCTGCCTAAGGGGAAAAAAAAAGGCAAAAGAAAACAAAAGAACTCATTTTACCTAGTTTATTTCCAAGAAATTGTATTACTCACTGGCACTAATGTTTTTGCTGTTTAGAACCAGACTATTGCTCTCTTCAGGACCATGGTTGCGAACAGGAATGTGTTAATACAGATGATTCCTATTTTTGTCAATGCCAAGAAGGGTTCAGACTTAATCCAGATAAGAAAACATGCAAAAGTGAGTAATTCTTTGGACATAATAAAGTTCATCTGCTTTTATTTCTTGAACCTGAGTGAATTGTTTCCCTTCTGAAAAGAGGGAAGTTTTCTCTATAATTAAGGTTGAAACAAATGTTTCTTTATAAACTTGAACTTGAATGGAATGAATCATGTTGGGAATGTATACATTTCTCTGTTTGGTAGATTACTTTGTATATTAGACATTTTTGAAGACTTTTATGAAAACCTGAGGATTAGTGTAGGAAACAAAATTACTTGAAGTTCATTACTTATTTGAAACTTTCTGGCCTTGGTTTGTAAAGACATCAATAGCTTTGAAATTAAAAAAAAATCACCTTGTTTTACCCAGTTGATTTAGCCAAGGACAGATACATTTCATCAGCTTGGAAATTTATTGAACAGACAACACAGCTATCAAAATAATCTTAGAGTCACCCAGGAAACTTTACAGTTTCCTAAAAAAATTGTAAAAACAGCATGAGCAATGTTAGCGTTATAAACCAGTCAAACGTGCCATTTACTTTAGAATGACTTAGTGTTACAGCTCTTTTACTTTAGAATGACTTAGTGTTACAGCTCTTTTTGATTGGAGGCCTGGAATCACAGCAGATTTTTACTGTGATGTGTTAAAGTTTAGAGAGAATATATTCAGCAAAATGAAATAGCTGATCTCGTGACTCAGTTGTTGGGGGGAGAAAATTGTACTACTGATATTTTATGAATAATAAACTTGTTTGGAGCAATCTAATTCTATTTCTAGGCACTCATAAAATGTACCTGGTTTTGAAACTGTAGTTTTGTTCAGTCTTAAAGATACAGTCTCACAAAGCATTTTTGGCTACACAGTGCTGCTTTTGCAGTAATCCATGCTATTCTGCTTTTTATTATCTATATGGTATGTTAATACATTCAGGTTTTT